AACCAAATCTCTGCCGATTATGAGCGGTTGACTGAGGGAGGACAGGAGCCATTCGGGAGGACTGGGGGAGGACAGTGGTCATTCGGGGAGGACTGGGGGAGGAGGGGGGAGTGGCTAGCAGTGGCGAATGCAGTGGGAGGTGGATGGAAGTCAGAAGGTCGGTGGCGAGGGGAGGGGTGCATAGAGGATGGGTGGTGGCGCAGGCCTGCCCGCCAGCGCTGCCCATTGTTACCGGCACTGTGTCATAGACACCGTCACTAGGTGTGCCGGTCGATATAGAATGACCACCTGCACTGCACTCGGCCCGCCGGATTCATGCGAGCTTTGTTATTACCGTCTGCAGCCGCTCCTGGGTATCGACCGACTCAAAGGGTGGCCTTAGACTAGGGAGGATCAAAGGCAAGGGATATATGTAGGTTGGGAGGCCGAATGTTAGGTCGATTTAGGTGCTGGAGGGTAGGAGTATAAAAAGTGACCGATTGGGGATAATTGAAGGGTAAGTACTAAGTATGGATGGATGTTCTCCCTACTAGCGTACTACACAGTGTGTTCTCATGTGAAAGAAAAAGACATGGCAAGTGCAGCAGTCTTGCCTGGCTGTTGGGAATTAACTTCAATTGCATACAACCATGGCTGAATAGTGTGGAGTGCTACGTCAATTACATGAAATCGGGATACCGATACTAAAGCAAAAACCAACCAAAACCATAGGATCTTCTTACTTTATTTTTGTATCCTCATTGCATTTCTCACATTATCGATCTTTTCACTGTATTCAGCGTTCAAGCAAGGAGCTCACCAAAGCCAAGGCTGTGCGACTGTTGAGGTTACCCATTAACTTGCTTCGGGTGTTTGGTTAGGTATGATTAGAAAGCTAAGCTTGCTTGCTGTTGTGTAACTGAATACGATGAGGCAGCTCATGCATTTAGATTAGACCTAGGTGTGGAGGTTCTAGTTGAGGAAATTAATGTTCAGTCTTAGATGCTCGGACTGTTAAGTGACGTGTTGTGTGTTACATCAATCTTTCGTGAATTATTCATTTTAATGCTGCACGTTACTTTTAATCAGTCCAAGCCAACTGAGGTAGGAAATCTTATCCATCAATCACGCAATTAAGGGTGCTTGTGACATTCTGCAATGCAAATCCTGCAAATCAATGCATCCTTGAGTAAACCCATTTGTCAAAACGTTGCGGCGATTTGTCAAAGCTGTGCCTTTTAATCCTGCACGTTTGTCACAATGCTTATTTGGAATGAAACATAATTATTCCATCATGGATGACGTCACCTATGACATCACCAACACACCACCCATGACATAATCGTGACGTTGACCGTGGTGACGTGTCTGTACCTCAAGTATTTCTTAATTATCATGACCTTTCTTCCTTTCCAAAATATGCTGAGCCAAAATTATATTGTTTAGCGTTTTCAAAAATATCGGCCACAGGCCTTCATCACCCAAATATCCAAAAGGACACTTTTGCATCTTTTTCTGATTGCAGCATTTCAAAATATCTTTTTAAAGGTCATGAAAGATCATGATAATAAAGATATACTTGATTTTTACCTTAATAATGATCATCCAACAAGCACTAAAACAGATGTCTGTACCTCAGTTACGACAGAAGTGCGTCAACCAGCACCAGTCGTAGACACCTATGTGAGGCCCCGGCCTCAGATGACAACTATATCACCTGTGCAGCAGCAGCCAGAGAAGACCGAGGGTATGATTGATGTAGTATGGAGCATGTTTGCACTAGCTTGCTGTGGCATTTGTTTACAATGACTAACCAGTAACCACAGAGACATTCACAAAGTAAAATTGTGAGGCAAAGGGGTCACAACGCTCTGAGTGCTCTAGAAAATCCGTCTGTTCTACGCATTTACACGTAAGCTGCTTGTTCAGGCACATTTAGTAGCTGTGAACCTGCATTTCACTAGCTGTTAGCCAGTTGACCTGCAATGTAGCGGCATATAGCGGCACGCCTTTATGCGCTTCGCTCAGTATTTGGGCATGCACAACGCACAATGCATACAAAAGAGGTGAAAGAATGCTTGAGTTGAGCTGCATGAGTATATTTCCTGTTGGCTGTTTCAGCTTGGTAGTCTATCAAAGTGACATTTTAGCATGAACTTTGCATAGTGCTATGGTTTTGATATGCCAGATTCCCGACTAAATAATCGATGCATGCTTGTCAATAATTCATTAATGCCTTATTTAACCCCGAGACGTAGCCAAGGGGGCCACGGGGGCCATGACCCCTCCTTACCTGAAGGCGAAAAGTAAATTAAAATAAGATTAGATAAAATCAACATAAATAAAAATAGGTGCACCACACACCCCAAAAATAGTGGGCCAAATCCGAGGAGTTTTCCTTTCTTGGAGGGGGTACGACACTAGGTCCCGACCTGTGGCCCCTCCCTGAGCAAAATCCTGGCTAACATGCCTGATTTAACCTGAAAATTTAATGTGAGACCTTCCCATCGCAATGAGCTGTTTCATGGAATCACGGATGCATATATTCATGGATTCATGAGACGTTTCATAGATGTTTCACGACCCCTACATCTGCGTGCCGGATCTTCCGCGTCGTCTCGAACGGTCAACGAGATGCAATGCGCCGTTGCGGTCCCTGGATATCGGGGACACGCAATCGGGGTCGCCCGTGATTCGTTTATGGCCCTGACAGTGTGTGCCACCGGCTTAGGCTATGTGAGCGACCGGCTTGTTGGTGCATACCTATAAGACGACGCCGACTGACATGAGCCGCCTGCTCTCTATCTCTAAGCCGCTGTTAGGTGTTGAATGCTGATGTACATTGTACAATGTACAATGTACATACGCATAGTACCAGATGATGTGTGATGATGGCTCTCTGTCTCTGTCTCTGTCTCTGTCTCTGTCTCTGTCTCTGTCTGTCTGTCTGCCTTCCTCTCTCTCTCTCTCTCTCTCTCTCTCTCTCTCTCTCTCTCTCTCTCTCTCTCTCTCTCTCTCTCTCTCTCTCTCTCTCTCTCTCTCTCTCTCTCTCTCTTCTCTCTCTCTCTCTTTTTTTTCTCTCTCTCTCTCTCTCTCTCTCTCTCTCTCTCTCTCTCTCTCTCTCTCTCTCTCTCTCTCTCTCTCTCTCTCTCTCTCTCTCTCTTGCTATTGCTTTCCTTTGGATAACCGTGCTTGCTTTCTGAGAAATACAGAGGCCGGGCGCGCGCTCGTCAGTGCCTTGGACATAAGGCGGAAACGGCGGCGTGCCCAGCTGATATGAAATCTTAGCGGACGTGGGAGCATCCGCAGCTGTCCTCCCCCCCCCACACTTATCCTCCCCTCCCTCTCCCCCAGCTTAGCGCGGCGTCCGGCGAGACGCGTGTGGTCAGATAAGACCATAGGCAATGGGGAAGGGGGAGACGCCGCGTGAATTGGGACTGCGGCGATTGCAATTTCAACTCGCTGTGTACCGAATGTCGATAAACGGCATCGAGTAGGTACTGATTGTATCGTTTGTGCGTCTCACCTCGCTAACACTTCAACTGATAAGATTGACACATGTGAGTTGGTATGTACGATGTTGAAAGTAAAACAATGGCTTTATTGGGACGTTATAGTATCTGTTTCAGTGTCTGTACCTATACTTCCTCAATGCATTTATTCAACCGGTGAGTTCTGTAGCAATTCCGTATTAAGTACCTAACTAATTACTTATACTTCTAAGCATGAGAGTCGATCTCTCATGCTGTTGTTGATCACTATGCCGGCTTATTTTACCTTTCAAAGTCGGGCATGGCCTATACAGGCTGGAGGTGCACATATCCTGTCATTATGATATTTGTGCTATCATTTTTCATTGCATTTCAAGTTATACAGACTTAGTCCCATTTATCGAAAGACGAAGGATCATCAATCGTTAATCGAGCTCACTTCATTTGTCCAATAATCCAGATACATACCAGAAGGAGGCTATTGGCCATAGGCAAATGCACATATTGGTAGGTATAGCATTTTTCACTAGTCAGCTCCACTATCTGGGGCTATCATTGATCATCCATCCACCAGGGCCAGGCACCAAAGATCGTGCAGTTGAACGTTGTCAATGAAGCATCTATGATCTATCGCTCATTGGTTCCCGGTCCCAAAACGGGCCACCAAATAATGCAACTCATCTCTGCTCAGAATGATCCGCCAAATGCTGCAACTCATCCCCAGACCCCAACACGGTCGGAACTGCTCGCCGGAAGTGGTTCACTTCCGGTAGCGGTGGCGCCGCCCCGCCCTGCCCTGGTCACGCGCCGGTTCACGGCCTGGCTGGTACTGTTCGCAGTCTGCACGACCGTGAAATATTTTTCGTGAGTGAGCTTGTGAACTAGTCGTGAGCTATTTCGTGAACTAATTCGTGAAGCATTTCGAGAACTAAGACATGAACCGACTCGTGAACTAAGTAAGTAGTAAACCAACCAATTCGTGACTCTTTATTACACGCTAACTGATGTGATTGACACCGTTGCAACATAACATCTATCGATGTAGCAGCGACATTCGTGACATAAAAGCTGGGCTATATCATGGCGTCAGTGCGAAAGGGTCAGGTCTGATGTGACCAAAATCCTATATAGATGTGACCAACTAACGCGACTCAGAGACCAACCGAGACCAAGGCCTCTCCAGGCCTCCCTCCTCTCTCTCTCTCTCTCTCTCTCTCTCTCTCTCTCTCTCTCTCTCTCTCTCTCTCTCTCTCTCTCTCTCTCTCTCTCTCTCTCTCTCTCTCAGACTGACCACACTGTTCCATGTAGTCCTGCGTTCCCCTCCCCCGTCCTCACCACACACACAAACAGGCGTGCACGCACCAACATCGATTTATGTACCGTCCACACAGCTCCGTCCCCGCTGCAGGCTGGACTCTGGGCCGGTCTGCTGCTTTTGCCACGTAACACACCCTGCCCCGACCCTTGCATGAAATGTGCTTTGAAGTCAGAAGTGTGGACTAAACGATGTGGCTTACAGTTTTCTGTTTCACAACAGGTGAAAGCTATCTAACGTAAAACTAAAGATAGCAGATATGCGCAGTTCCGCTCGATCATGTTCATGATTATAGGCAGTGAGTGTCTTCGCTCTTCGCTGTCATATACATACTGCGACTATCGCTGCTATCAGTTCTCTATATCGATGTGATGGAGTGGATGGGGGGTGCGCCTGCTACCGTTGCTTCGATAGGGACGGGACTTCGATCGAGCACTATGGGAATGAGGGAAGATCTTCTGATGAGCGAGGTGCAGTTATCATGGAAGGGGCTTAACATTTTTGATTTTATGCTTGTTGAAGATGCCTGTGCATTGTTTACTCATTACATAGTATTCTTATGCAGCTTAGGTATATTCGTTATAAGTGTGTCGAAGGCTACTATAACTGAACTCTCGCACAGCTTGTCTTATCTAAAACAATAGTTTTTTGCATTATTCCAATAAGCGAGATTAAAAACCATCCTTGTATGTACGGCCCTCCAGCAAAAGAGTGGTTTATCCAGCAAAAAGAGTTAGCCTATGTGCTTTTGATGTAATAACTTTGAATGACAGAGAGTCAGAGACACTCCTGTAAAATGACTCAATAGAAATGAGAAGAGGGCTCGCGCACGCACTTCGGCAATGGTTTTCAACAGCCATTACACGTATTCATCAGTGCAGATCGCTTATTGTGATGTTGGCAACCAACTACTAAATGCTTGGAGGGCCGTACATGTGCTCACACTGCTGGTCTGATGTACCTTTCTAAACTTGCTTCATTTCTCTCACGCAGAAATTCCGTACGTTCCCGATCTACAGCAACCTCAACTTCTACCGCATGAACAGATCATGATTGAGGACATCCGAGCCAACTACCTGAAGCCGCCCTCCTACGAGCCTTACAACCTGCAGGAGAATCTGAAGAAGGACCCCTCGAGAGGACAGACCAAAGTGATCCTGGAGGCACTCAAGAACATGGTACGGGAGTATTTGGGACGGGCGAGGATAATTGTGGGAATAGGAAACCACAGGGTTAAGTTCAAGAAAATCCATGAAGCCACAACGCGTTGAGAATGTATGGTGAATGGTGACCCATAAGAAGGTCAAACGAGACGCAGAATAAATATATTCTTTGTATTTTTCCTAATTACGAATAATGTAAAACAAAATGACTTGCTATTAATAGCTATAAAAAATCATATAACTGTGAAATGCAACATTTTTAATTATCCAACTTAAGTCACCGAGTCAAAATGTAAAAATTCAGCAGTAACCTCGCAATTATCATCATTCAACCCTTCGCAACTTCACCCACGCCACCCATCTCCCACCATGCATACTCTGGCTATGATTCAACTCTTCCCTCCCCTCTCGTTCTTCAGCGGAACGGGTTTTTCGTCGAGTGCGGCGCGTTGGACGGTGAGACTCGCTCCAACACCCTGTTCATGGAGAGGTTCCTCGGCTGGACGGGTCTGCTGGTCGAGGCCGACCCCAGCAACTTCCGCAAGGTCCTCAGCAAGAACCGCAACGCCTGGAGCGTCAACGTGTGCCTCAACAGCAGGAACGTCAAGAGTCAGGTTAGTGGAGGAATAATTGCTGGGGATTGAGACGTGGAAGAGGGATGAGAGAAAGAGGTAAATTGGAAGTTATGTAGGTAAAGATAGATGGGGAAAATAAATAGGAAGATAAATAGGAAGCAGAGAAAAAAGTTTGGAGAATAAGAGTGAGGATGATGAGGGGAGGAGTGGAAGGGAAAGTGGAGGAGAAGAGGAATGGAAGGCACGGAAGAAATTAAGAGAGAATAAACGACCAATATGAGCTTTTGGCCTTTTCTCATGGAAGTCTGATTGGTGAGTCGCACACTTTTCGGCTTCAGACATCTGTGATCTCAGCTATGTCCCTAGTTATTCTGACATCCGAGACTTACTCTTCGTAGCTTCACGCAGCTGCGCATTCTGAGACACACTTTCTTATCCCTGCAAAGCGTCACCTGCTACGAACTCTGAGGTTATAGATACATAAGCTACATCAGGTGTGCTTCGTCCGGGAACGTTATCGGTGACTGTGATGTCGCTAAATGAAAAATCACCGTCAGCGTTTCGCATCAGCTAGACAGCTACACAAGTGCGCAACTTGATATCACGATCAGTCCACTTGTGCAATGTGCATCATAGGTGCCGACTCAGCGTGGGCGACGCGAATGACGCAAACGGCTTAGCCCTCGCCGGCCGAGGGGGGGGGGGGGGGGTGCCGCCCCCCATCGGTTTTTTTCGCGATAGCTCCGAACACGCTGGCGATAGAGAGCTGAAACTTAACATACCTGACCGTTGATTCAAGCCGGATCTTTTGACACCAATCGCATTTTCAGGTCAGGTCAGGTCACTGACCTGTGACGTCATAAGCGAACCTCTGCACGGTCTTCAGATGTCCCAACTTCGCAACGCCCTCACTGCCAGAGTAGCTTTCACAGGGAAATGAAACTTGCAGGATCTAATATCCATTACTAGTCTCACAACTTGTATATCTCGGATTTTTCGTAAAGGTCATATGAGGTCAGGTCATTTTCGTGACCTCACCATTATAAGTCAATGGGGAAAAATGAAAACTGCTATTCTGGCGCCGGGAACGATATCCAACTATCTCAAGCACACAGAATCGTGATTTGGTGCACTCCTTGCAAGGTAAGATGCGTCACTTTTGCAGTGTTGACATTGCGTTGACCTTGCGTCAAATTGAGCTAGCGAGTCGGGAAAGCCACCACTGGACTCAGGAAGACCTGCCGAATCGAATGACATGCGACATGACCTACTTCGACCGATTTCGTGACCTGTGGGTGCTGACCTGACCGTGACCTGAGGTCAACACCCGAAGTTGACCTCACCCAAATAAAAAGTTTATCATTCGACGCGCCTGCGCGAGGCAAACACGATGCTGCCAAAATCGCGGCTCTGCGACCGTTTTTTGCGAAATTATTCACCAAAAACGAAACCGTACCTTGGGGCACTTGACCTTACCTCAGAGGTCACCGGTTGACCTAGGACCTTAAAATCGGGTATCAATCTCTGCGTCTCGTAACGGCACACACGCTCGTTTTTTCTGCGATGCGCTAGCTCCACCAGGGGCGAAACGGCGAGGGGGGGGGGTCGTACCCCCCCCCCCCCCCCCTCGGCGGGCGCGTATGTAGAAAACCAATAGGTCCGGCGAGGGTTAGTGTTACGTTGACTTAGCGTTATGCATTCGAGAAGAGGTAGTACTCCTCGAGTATAAAAGAATTAACCTTTTTCATTTGTCATCCACCACCAGCATAATTATTGCAGTTCTTGACCTAAAGACATGTCGATTTGCATCTAAAGCAGGCTTAGATTTTTTTTCTGATTTACGAATCTCTAATGCCGGAGGCGGGAACCAATTACAAATTTACAAAAAAGGTAGAAACGCTCCTTCTTCCTCACATGAATCAACGCCTAATTTTACGCCAATGTCATTGTCCTCACACATTTATGTCAGCTATCGCAACGCGCAGGCTTCCTTTCCCTGCAGTTCGTTCGTTGTTTTTTTTCGGCCAGTCGTCACATCGGGGCCAGTGTCGCGGTCAATACCTCAGGTCGATCGGGGATGGACGGCCCTGGTCGCTTGGTCAATGCGTGGCAACGTACACACCCGCAGCTCGGTGTCGGAGCATCATGGCCACGAGTCATAGATACGAGAAATGCCACTATACATAATTCCTCGATCATGCAAGTCTCTTAAAGATATTTTAAGCAAGGATTAAGCTTGTGCCGCAACGTAAAGCCGTGTTTGCTGCACAGTTTGAACGGACAGTTGTGCACTATGGTTTACCGTTAAAAAGTAGAGCCATTCCCCTCTCCTCAATACATGTACTTTTTTAACAGATAGCCTTGCTAAAAATGCCTTTATTTTCGCTAAAATGTCTCACAGAAAGGCGACTGTGCAGAGACTAGGGTGAATAGGTCAAAAACGCCCCCATTAAGCGCGAAACCTTCTGACAATCAACCCAACACAGATTACTCAAACCTTTGGGCACCATCATGTAGCTCATTCTTTTTACTACGCTTTGAGACCAAGAAAAGACACCTGCGTGTGGTATTTAACCCCCCAAAAAGGTTTTCGCATACCCTTACAAAAGGGCGTTTTGCCCCACACCCTGGGTAATACGCCCACACCCATGTGCAAAGCGCCCCCACCTCATCCATCAACAGAAAATGATGAACATGGCAGAACTTGACGTCATTCTGACGTCATTTGTGGTCAACCTATCGTAGCCTTTGGAATAAAATTGTGTTGCAATGTGTAAAATGGATGCCCGGAGAAGTCCTGAAAGTTTGGTGACGATATCTGCAGTCGTTTAGGATATATCAGCAAAAAAGGACAGGGAGAGGCCTTTTCGGCACCCACCTACAGGGCGCTACCCTGCACTCTCACCACCGTGCAAAACGCCCCCCTTTCAGAAAACTGGGGGCGTCTTGCCCCATGCATCGAGTAGGCGTCTTTCCCCATCCACTCCATTTCCGGTCAACAAAATATTGACCAAAAACGCGCCACTAACGCCGCAGCATAATAAATTAAACAGAATGGCAATAAAACGCAGTTTTTAGTGATGTGCACAATAGCAAGTTTTGTGATATAAAGAGGGCATCAAAATCTTAGGAATCTTCTGTAAAAACAACAAAAACAACACCCAAAACCAACATCAGCACCTACCCACGCTGCTCCTCAAGACGCAGAACCGGAAATAGAGACCTACGTAAACAAGCAGCTGACTGTTCTGAAAGACAGGATAAAACACCTATCCGTCGATAAGAAATACGATTTTTTTAGGGGAGGCGTTTAACCCAGGGGTGCGTTTTCCCCACAGTTACCCTATGTTTATTAAACTTATGCCGTGCCCGTACATATGATTTCATCCAATGATAATTTACGCATAGCTATAGCTATCCGTAACGATGCGGTGCGCCGTAGACGTCTACGGCGCACCGCATCGTTTTCAATGAACGCCGACATGCATGCCCCCGGTGTACCGCCATGCGCTGCACCACAGGCTCATTTTGTTCATGTAGGTAGGACACACCAAATGTTTAACAATGCATGAGCTGTGGGTGTCGCGGCAACGCGGAGCGGGCAATCGCTGCAGTACAGCTCTCACGTCACTGAAATGTGAAACTCTGAATTCCACACCGCCAGTAGAATACCTAGTGTATGGCATTTGGGTTTGACGACTAATAGACATGCTAGATAATGCACTATGCACATTTTACGGAGGCTTATCCTTAGAAATTGTGCTTTTTTTTGAGGTGATAATTATATGTACATGGAACATTATCAGCTATTGTACGTAACCGTTCCTTCATTCTAATTGCCGGCTGCGTTAGTGCGTACCAGCATTGTTTTCAATAATGACCTATACGATTTGCATATGTTGGCGGCCGATTGTTGGTCATTTCTGCTCATGAAAACTATACAGACTTTCCGTTAGAAAATTTGTCCTATCATAAGAAATAAAGGGATCTCCGCAAAGTGTAATATAAGCCCTCGTGATCTATCTATAAGCCTTTCATAATTTCTGACTGATTTATTTCAGCAAACGTTGGTGGAATACCGACAATTGTTAACGACTTTGCACATCAGTTAACCCGCGCCCCGTAGGGCTACCGGCGGACCCTACCACCCGTAGGGGGGGGGGCCGTTTCGGCCCCCCCCTAAGATCTCGGAAAGTTACCGGCCGATTTTCAAAATTCAAACGGCGTTTGATAGCCCTACCCGGGATCTACCTTGTGACCAAATTTCATTGACCTAGGTCAAACCGATGACGTCACAGGTCAGGTCAAAGGTCAGGTTTTCACCGTTCACAGGCAATTCAAGAAATGTGCTGTGAAATCGAGTAAATTGGTAATTTATTGAAAACCATCGATGGTATATTGTTCGTCAAACACATACTTTGCTATCTGAGGTCACTGATACCAGGTCAGGTCACAGCGAGGTCAGGTCACCGGGGGTCACAATATGAATGTGTCGTGTGATACATGTTTTATGGTCCATTTTACATGACAAATGCGATTATGTGGGTTAGGCAGCCTTTGGGGCCAGCCTAGGTCACGTTTTGGTGAAGGTCAGGTCAAGGTCAGGTCAAATTAGGTCAAATTTCAAAGTTGATATTTTTGCATAAAATGGGTATCCATTCGATGCAGCTCGTCACGGGGAGTCTAATGGTGGTCTTTATTTTGCTCTACGAGTTCTAGAATTGCCAAAAATTGAGTTTGAAAATTTGACGTCATCATTTTTGAACAGTTTTTTCGCTATAACTTGGCCCAAAAAACGAGGTATCGATCTGAAATTTGGTATGTAGATAGAAGACGGTAGGTACTATCACATATATTCCGGTTTTTTTTCGAAACTCAAAAAACTTTTTGGATTTTTTGGCTAATATATCCAAAAAAATGCTTTTTTGATTTTGGGGGATCAAAACTCAAAAATTTCAAAAATCCGAGATAGCAGTTTTGTAGCCCTGTCAATTCTACACCTTTTATGTCTTGATCATTTTTCTGTATCTTCAAAGCTGTAGGCCTGACAGGTCTTCTCGCGAAGGTCTTTTTTCGGTCGAAAATGACAGAACATGACGTCACTCTGACGTCATTTGTGGCCAACCTATCACAGCCTCTGGAAAAATTTTTGGTCACAATGTGTAAAATTGATGCCCGGAGGGGTCCTGAAAGTTTGGTGGCGATATCTCCAGCCGTTTAGGAGATATCGACCGAAAAGGACAGGGGGGGCCGTTTCGGCCCCCCCCCCTACGGGGCGCGGGTTAACATTGAGCGATCAGCGATTTGGACGGACGTTCCGTGTAACGAGAGGGACGCTCCGTGTTCCGTTAGCTTTTGTTCCGTCCAGGGTCGCAGTCCACGTCCGTTCACAGTGACAAGCGGGCACAGGTGACACGCCCGTTCCGCTCCAGCTCTGTACACGGCAATGGATGAAAAGATGGAAATCACCGCTTTGTTGGTGACAGCTGGAACGGGAAACCGTACCTATTATTCAGCGGTGCATTATTTGAGAGCTCCCGACAGACTGACGAGTTTAGAAGTCACATGGTGTGGCTTGTACCAGCGCTTAGTTTCAATAGAGCTTATCCAATATGATTTTTGGTCACTGCTGATTATTCATTCACTCCCCGTGCTTATATCCTTTACTGCCGACTACTCTACTATTTGCTTAATTTACTGCGTCACTGAATCACTACGTACTACCTCGTCCTACCCCGACTTTGCTCGTCAAGTCTGGCAGTGATTCGGGGCACGGGAGGCGGGAGCCACCCACTATGCATTCGGTAGGATCCAAACACCTCAACACAATTCACACTCAACTTAGAGTCGGTTAATCACCACTTAACGCACATTTATTCCTCATTCAACACAAAACACAAGTCCAGAATGCATATGCGGCCATAACAAAGAAGACACAAATCACTACATACTTTTCTGTGCATTGTACACTAACCAAAGACAACAACTCTTTGATGACGTCACAACGACCATTCCAGACGTCGGCTCACTCAAATTCTCAACAAAAACTGAACACCTTACTACACGGACACAATCTCAACGAGCACCAGGGAATCGAAATTGCATATCACTTACACAAATACATTCACCACACCCGTCGCTTCGGCGACACACTCAGACATTTACATAGAACGACGTAAAGCACAACTGACACACCACATCCACCCTCACCACCGGCTGACCGGGCTGGGGCCGTCCGGCGTCCAAGGGCTCCGCCACAGGGGGGTACGCGGGGGTCCGGACCCCCTCAATAATTTACCTGGGGGGTACAGTACCCCCCAATATTTCGAATAACTATAAGCTTGTTTTCGCATAAGAATGACCAAATCATTCACAGAATGTGTTGAATAATTAAGAATACGTTGACATTCGCAAAGCTAAGGAATTTAAGACCTAGAAATGTAGGGATCCCTTAAAATGTTGTGACACACGAAGTGCTCAACACTCGCCGACCTATACTCGTATGTACGGGAGTGCCATTATTCTACCATTTTTTTTATTAAAATGAATGCGTTTAAGATTGCTATAGGATTAGCTAAGCATGCCAGGATTCGGCTATAATTTCGTGAGAGAGGTCCAGCGACCAGCTTGCTGGACACCTCTTAGACACAATACCCGCCCTACATGAGCTTCGAATCGACCTGAGATTTGAGAATCCTTTTTCCATGTGAGGTCAACCGATAGTGTTGGGGGAAGGGGATTAAGCCGGTCTTTCGAGCACCGTACTAGTCTAAGCACAGTAAGCAGCCTCACACCGTTCTGAGGTAATCTGCAATAATCTGCACAGGACTCTGAATGCATGTCGGTAGAGATGCGTCTACAAGTCACAACTCTTACAGAATCCCCTGCATAACCTAACCTTTGATTCAATTGCAGCATTTTGATATCCATTTTCAGGTCAAGATAGGTCACTCTCTGATCGCAAGAGATCTATCGTCAGTATCTAAGGAGTCCATACTGCTATATGTATGAGGGCAGGGCTTTCAAATCCCTTCAACGACTCCTAAAGCCCTGCGCTTTCCTTTAACTACGGCCTTGGAGGACCCGGCACTGGCCTAAAAGCCTACATAGATAGATATCTGAGCGCCTATGAAGGTCCCTGAATTCCCAAGCCCATGCCAGTCACTGAGAGCCTAATGCGCTGTCTGATGGCTAACACCGCCCTTGGAGCGCGCAACAGCGGCCTTCACTCCTCAAGAACGTTGATTTGAGAGGCTGCAATGTCGGTGTCAATGGGCTCCGCTTCTCGGTTTTCGATTCCTTGTGCAAATTGAACCTTGGTTTTTCGGTTTAAAGCAGAATTCTCCCGATAAAATTATTAAGCTTTCTTTGAGCTCTAGAAAAAGCGGCGATTTTTCATCATCTTCGGGAGCTGCAGGGGGAGGGGAGGGTGAATTCGCCCAAAACACCCACCCTGGATTCGCCAGCGAGGTTTTGTGTTTTGGGTCGGACCCCCCCAATCCCAAAACCGTGGCGGAGCCCCTGCCGGCGTCCAGCTGAGCCCTACCGGTCCAGGGGGTTGCTCGGCGGGCTGCTGGCGGGGTCGGTACTGGCTGACCCCAGTTGCGCGATTATTGTCAATTTCGTTTTGATTTTGGAGAGGCGCTTTAATTTAAGTTTATCTTTTGCGCCGATCCACCACTGAACTTGTTTATTGTTTTGTTTGTATCACTCAATAAAATGAACTGAACTGAACTGAACTAAACTGAACTGAACTGAACTGCCGTGCTTATGCCTGGCCTGCAAACTCATCATCAGTTTTCCACACCCTCTTTTTCCCCGGCTACCACAGGTCAGCTTCAAACCGGCGTTTAACGTCGGCAAGATAGCGCGTCAGAACGCCTCCGGCACAGTCGAGGTGGACTGCTTCCCTTTGCACGCGCTGCTGTTGGCGCTGGACGTGAGGCGGGTCGACTACTTCAGCCTGGATGTCGAGGGAGCCGAGCTGGACGTGTTGAGGACGGTGCCTTTCGACCGTATCGACATACGGGTAGGTCGGCGGCTCGAATCACAAGTTTTGAAGAAAAAAATCACGATAAGCCTGGTCAAGTTTTTGTTTTGCTCATTTTGCAAAGATCCTGACCATATGAGAAAATTATTTTGACCAAAAGTTTGTCCCTAGACATGGCGTCTTGTAAGTTGCATTCGGTATCGTAAAATATTCGAACTGATGCATTTGTCAGCGTTTGAAATGCCATCCTACACTTCAGGAATAAATTACCTTTTTTAATGCAGTTAACTATGATAAACTGATACCAAAAGGAATGAATAATACCGACAAGAAAAAAAGACAAATGATACCAACGAATAATATACTCTAATAAATACTATGACGTTCATTTATACCTTTAATTCGTCATTTCTATCGATCTGTCAATTTTGTGTCAATAAAAGACGCGTTTACACCTATTCTGACGTCCGTCTCCATCCTCAGACACTCTCGGTCGAGTTTGCGCACACATCTGGCGGTGGAAAGCCGGCCCTCCGTGCTTTCATGGAGTCCAAGGGCTACACCGTGATTCGTGAGGTAAAGCAGAAAGACTGGACGGCCAACGACTTCATCTTCGTCAAGAACGACACGTTTTCAGAGGAGGAGAGACAGCGGCTGTCCGCGCCGTACCGTCGACACTGAGCTGACGTGATTAGACTCTCTGTGTGATAAAGGAATCTATGAAAGGGAAGGAGGGGAAGGAGCTGTCGTCGGTGGTATTCTGAGTTTGAAACGCGCCGGATATTTCTGGTGACGATATTTCCCTGAGAAGACAGCAGAAAGGTAACAAGTGCACGGAGACAGCATATCATGAAGGGGAATTAATTCCTGATGTCCATCATGGGGAATCGGCATAAAAAGACACGAGAGAATAGTTCTTACACTGACAGAGGTGGGATGGAACTGAAGGGGTCGTAGGATGACCCAGGGTGATATGAGGTGTAGCATCTGCGGAACGAGGCGGTGCTGGTGCATGGCGAAGCACCAGAACATGTTGGCGGCACTTAATGTGTCATAAAACTGGACCAGTGTCGGCGCATGGTGGATGCCCTATCGGCACACAGGATGACGAAACTTTCCAATCAAGTGGTGAGCTTGTTTAACCTTCGCCACGGTAGATAGGCTCGTCAGTGTTGTGGCTCGACAAAATAACTTGTGACGAAGTTGGTCACTATGGCCGCTGGATATCGGACATAGCCTATGCTCGTATAATTCCCTGATAGGCCTGTGATTAAAATGCTATTCCCGTTAGCTCAACATTTTAATTGCAGTCAACAGATATCCGGGCTGGCTCATAGCTCAGCATCTATCTCGGCTGGCTCTCTGTCATTCTGACTCAATGAGCTGACAAACTATAAGCTGACGACAGGCAAGTCTTGAGCTAATATGCCGGGCTTAGCTCGTTGCTAGCTCAACTGTCCGTGACTTGAGGTATTGTCCACAGCATCTTATTAAAGCTCATCCACCATGATTGTGCCGTTTGTTGGAGCTTGTTATTGTTGTTGTGCTTTTCGTGATCTTAGAAGCGTTCTGGAAGCTCCGCTTTTAGCCACCGAATGCCGCTGTTGCTGTTCTAATTCGCTGACGTTGATTTGTGCCTGGATGTATGACGTTGCATTGTTTTATCACGGGACTGTGACTGCCTAGTTCGCATAGTTAAGACTTGTTCTGCTTGTGTTTCTTCGGCATATGACGTCATCTGAGCATGGTTGGTTAGGAAGTGACGTCACGTGGGTTACCGTTGTTCGGGTTATGCCCTCAAGTTATCTTTCGAGTCAATGCGGCTATTTCGCGAATGTGATAGCATTATCCCATGAATGTGTCGATTCATTCCAAAACTAATATCACGCAAGCATATTCTATTTATATAAATTACCGATCCCCTTTCGCCTGTGATACATCTGTAGCGAAACTAATGACGTTACGTCAGCTGGGTGTAACTTATTTGGCTAAACACAACCTAGCTGGTGAATATATAGTTCACCTCGGAGCCACCAGGGGCACGGCCCTGCCTCGCTCGCGTTCCTGTGTTTGTGTGTGCATAGAAGTGAAATGAAGATGATGTTTGACTTTCCGTGTGGGACGTGGGTCGATTTGGTGCACATAAAATAAAAGAAAGTGACATGGTTGCATATAGCCTGGGTCACTGGCGGATCCAGGCCTTGCGTTTTGGGGGGCCAACTCATGCAGGAGCCAAACCTATAGGGTAACCCCAAATCCTGTTTTCTCATCGGATTTAGGCCACTTATTTTTCGTCACAGCCCTGACACTATTAAATTTTTTCAACCAAAAATTTAAAATACATAAATGGTAGCCCACCCGACCCATGCCTTTATATTACTTTGTAAGCACTTACCATTGCTTTTGTCGACCAGTTAACCCGCTTCGAGTCAGTGCTTGGGTCCCTTTGCGGGCCGGGAGGTGGTAAAACACCCCCTGTCTAACTCGGCTCCTGGGCCACGCACTGATTGAACTATGTTTCATTATCGTTTGGGGGAGGGGGTAAACGGGCCACTTTAGGCCTCTGGGAAGGGGGCATGGCCCTAAATGCCCCCTCCCTGGATCCACCAGGTTCGAGATTTAGCAGGCAAGGCATTGGATCGAAAACGAAGTGTGAAAACGATTGCAAAACTGCAGGTAAAGAATCGCAATTAAGAAAATCGGCCCTCTTACGCGGTCTCAGCTTAGCTAAAAACAACTAACCACTCTGCTATAGGTGTCAGGACCACGGTGCCAAGACGGAGGCAAAGACATACACTCCCCATTTGACCAGCATTGATGGCAACTCCAATGGAAGTTGCGGAAGCATCGGAGTTAGTACGTGTAGTCATATCAGCCTTCCCGACTGGTCACCATGAACCGGCCGGTTACGCGCGGTTAACTAGGACTGTGTTGCTAGTTCTGTTGCAGCCTTTATGACTGCGTCACCATGAACAGGCTGCAGTGTACGCTCCTTTCACAGGTCCATGTGTTACTATTACCGTGGACACTGGACATAGTCCTAAAAGACAACGACGTCAGGCGTGTGTGCTTCATGTTGCATAGATGAGACAATGGCTATCAGGCAATGGACCGGTGAGAGGGCTGATTTGGTGAGAGAGATATGCTGAACCCAGGCAGGTCACACATAAATATAATGGTGATATCGGTAAGCGGGGTACATCGGATTTTGACATACCTATAATGTTGCGAGCTTATCCCTCAAAATGGAGAATAGCGTTGACAAGACGGGAAAGACAGACGTACCAAGACGGCACTTACTAAACAAAGTAGTCGGTAAAGGAGGGACGTCAGATTTCGACATAATGTTAGAGTTATGATGAGCCTTTAACAGGCAGTGGTATCGGCCCTTTAGCTGATGAATGTGGTGGTGGAAAAGAGTTGCCCAGGTGCTGGCAAGAATGAGAGAGATCTATGAATTATGGAACCGTTGGCCATCCATTGGGTAATGCATTTGGTGGCCGAAAATACAAAGAGTTGCCCAGGTGCTGGTAAGAATAAGAGAAATGTGTGGATTGTGAAACTTTATCAGATAAGGTTCACATGCCTAAATACGTCGGCAACATCGGTAAGTGGGGTGCATCAGACTTTGACGTTGTGCTGGAGCTTGGCGATCACACGAAACGGATAGTTTATTTTATTGGCAATAAACTGTCGACTCCACGTCGACTCTCTGCTGTTTACTGTGGACGCAAGCGCATGATGACAACGCAAACATAACGGAGCCATCGGTCACTTCGGTGTTAACAAAACATCCATAGTTTTGTCTTCCGTTGAGTCGTTGACTACATATTACCAGTGATGCCATCCACATTTTTGCTCCATCCCAAGATCTCGACCAGAATTTCCCAAGATTCTCGTCTCAAATCCCAAGACGACCCATCGAATATCCTTAGGAGTACCCCAAGTAAATCCATAGGGGAGAGTGGGGTGGGTTGTATCAGTTTTTACTCCGAGACCCATAACCTCGTAACTATCCGTGATAAACTCATTATTTCCATACTATCTCCTTCCTTGATTCTTCTGCTTTATCGTGCCAAGTAACTTTTCCGTTACCTCTACCAGTTTTTCTTCTACGGTCTGCCGAATAGAACAATGTTTTTGATACAACTTGCCCCATAGCTTGGGTGAGTTGTATCACATGGTGGGGTAATTTGTATCACTATTTCACGTTTCAGGGTGCGTGCTTTCTACTGGCTTTGAACATAACAACAACATTAAATGGGGTTAATACAATTTATATGCTCAAAGGCTTTACTTTTATTAGGCCAAACTTAGGTCAATGCAATCCGAACGAAACATCGAAACGTCAAATGAACGAAACATCAACAGACTAGACGCAAAAGTGGCCCGTTAAGAGCAAAGAAGCCAACACATTGTGCCGAAATTGAACGAGTATTGACTAGCTATCTACAAACGCGAGCCAGGGCTTAGCTTTCGCGATCAAAAGCAACATACCCATACATACATACATACATACATGTTACAACATACCCCACCCGGCTCTGATACAACATGTACCTCGCCGCCATCTTGGAAAAAACATCCTCGTGCTCAAAAACAGCGGACAGCTGGAGAAATCCATTTTCACTCACGCAGCCTTAGAACCTACCCTCACCACCGCTACGGAGATCTTTCAAATTCGTGCACATCTAAATGCCCAAAACACACATTTTCTTGCAACTTATTTTTTTAGAATGACATTAAAAAAACATAAAATCGGCTCTCACCTCGAGACTTGTCCATCCAGCCACACGACAGAACAGGGAAAGATTGCGCCCGGAAAACCTCGTCGGCTGGTCGTATCACGAGCGCCGTCTATTGGATAAGTTTGGCACAATTCGCCCTGATACAACTTGGACATGATACAACTCTCCCCGCTCTCCCCTAGCTTATTTTGGACATATTAGTGTGTTTAGTATTCAACTTTCTCTTCTTCGGGTCCACCCTTGTCCTTATTGGCGTATTTACAGCAGCTAATGTACCTAGAGGCCGGGGGGAGGGGAGGGGGAGGGGGTCGATCGGACTCCTACAGCTGATCGGTTCCTGACCGAGTATAAGAGCTTCACGAAAAATGAAGATGCTGGCCTAGACAACATGAAGCCGGTGGTATCTGATATTATGGTCAGGTCATTCGTCGACCGTCAATGGTGGGTCAAGGACTTAAAACACAGTCCGAATCTGTTAGAACTTCTTGGAAACGAAGTCTGTGGCATTTTGGATTTATTTCAAAATTTGTCTCGTGACACATTTGGAGAAGCTAGGGTCAGGTGAGGTCAGGCTGATTTTAAGTGTCTTCCACCACTGAGTTTTGAAATATGGGCTCCAAAACAAGCTCTTAAAAGCTTATGTGAATCCTGAAATCGAAAAGCCTATGCTGTGAATCTGCGCGTAAGCTAGTGCCCGCTGGGGCCCATGAATTTTCAAGCCGGCGATGGCGAGGGGGTCTAAACGAGGACCTAACTCGTCCCCTGGACTATATAGTTACAAGACGTCATCAGTGTTGTGAAGGTCGCAATGTTACGCTTTGATTATTTTTGGTCCAGCAGAGCCCAGAGGTCAGGTGACCAGACACTTTTCCGAGGTCAAAGACAAATTGCCCTTATTTTGGTTCGCGGTCAACGGATAAGCCTCCATAGAGCAAAACCGTAAAATGAAACGCTTTGTGCGGGAGCCACTTTCTGAAATGTTTTTAAGGCATAATGTTTGTAAAAGCTTTTCATAGCCACCCAACATCATGGACGCCGGTGAAACAGGGCGCCGGAGGGCATATTAGTCACGTGACATTTGTAGCTTCTCCCCCTTCGTGTGCAGCTTCTACAATCTACATGCTAAACGTCACGTGTAAATTTCACGAACCTTGATCAAATCGCCCCAGGCGCCCTGTTTTCACCGTCGTCCATCATGCCGCCAAACCATCCATCCCCGTTGATCGGTAGTTGGAAATTAAACAAATGAGCGCCAGTTGCGAACAGCGACTGAAAGCTGCTACTATACCCATAACAAGTAATGGTACAAAAATAATCCTGCGATCTCGGGAAGATAATGCCGGCTAGAAACATCGCAAGCTTCGTCCGTTACTTCAATATGTTTGATTAACCGTCCGTAGTGCAAATCCATCCTAAATCTATTATCGACCAAGGAAAAAGCATTCGACAGCATGAGAAGACAAAGTGAAATCAGCTTCTGCCAGATCCCAAGATATGCAGTGCAAATCACAAGATCCCAATGTTAATGTTCAAATCCCAAGATCTTGGGACAAATCCCAAGGAATGGCATCGCTGCATATTACTCTTCACGTCGATTTAGGGACAATAATTCGCTATTTAAGCAAATTGAGAAAGTCGTCGGTTTTACTGGGGACGGTTCCCAGTGTCCCCAGTGGTGGTTACGCGCCTGGCTGTAGAGTCAATAATCAGGGGTCAATGAATCCAAATAGAACCAATATCGATCGCGAATGAAAAATGCGATTGAAACCAATGTCGTTTATCGCAATAAAAGCGAAGATACACGAGTGATTTGGATGCTACCCCACGGTGCATTTTAAAGGAAAAGGGCCACCTTGGTGAAATATGAAGATATCGTTGTTTTTCATTTTGACATTATTATTTTTCATTTTCTTTTTAAAACTGGTGCCAGAAGTGCACAATTCGCGAAAAAGTGTTTAAAACTATTTAACATATTGGTACTATGTTGATACTCTCTACGGCACCTACTGTATGATGGCATAGCGATGACGTCACACTCAAGCCAATCAGCGTTCAGAAGACAGACTCGTCGGATTGTGTCAGATAAGCTGATTGGTTAAAGCTGAGCTGGTTGGAGCTGATTGGTAAAAAACCAAAGCCTCGCCGCGGGTGGCTGTATTGTCGGATAAGAACGCATTCCTGGGATAAGGACGCATTCCTGGCGTATTTTCTTTTAAAATTGCCGATAACTACGAATGGAGGCCGAAATCGGCCGTAAGGAGGTAGACAGATAGGTTTTCGGACACGGGCTACAAGATGGCTATCTCAGTTTCAATCCCCATGTTAAAGGTGGCCCTTTTCCTTTAACTTCCATTTCAATTGCATGAAAACACACTTTATGCATCCATCAAACATGGGAGTGCCAGTACAAGCGCTTACCAGCATGCTCTTCAGTTCGACCTACCAAGTACCTACTTACCCTACTTTACTGATGATTACCCTTCGATAGCCTGGAGCCGCCACGCAGAAAGTCACACCGAGCTGCGCTGCTGTGCTGAAAAAATACAGGACCTGTCTGACAGGGCTGAGGTTCAGTCCAGACCAAAGTGACCACATCAGAGCCCTGCAAGCCGGGCAGTATTTTCTTGCAAATCCATCCTAATTGTATGGATTGTATCCATAAATCCAGAAATCCATCCTAATTGTACAGGTGTAGATTGTAGAACACCTGAAAGAATGGCAGGGCACCGAATACGGCATCCTCCATAGATGGCGCACCAAGCGGTCCAGGCGACGATGTTGATGGCAGCGCCGGCAGCGCCACCAGACATGTACATCTAGTTCGAAATATCGCCATCAGGGAGCGTTAGCAGTCAGGTCAGTTCACAAGTCTCTATTATCTACTCAGGCATTTACGCATTGTTAGGAAGCTGCATAACCACCGCATGCTATTTACGATGTAGCAAGTGCACTTTGACACTCAGTATTACGCGATTGCAATTTCCCTGCATCGTCTGTCATCGAAGAGCCAGGGTACGCAATATTTGGGGTACCTACGGAAAAGAAGAAAACACACTTTATGCCTCATTCTGACGAAACAAATACGAAAGCGGTGCATCATTGTTGTTGTGTGTATTTTTGTATTGTGTCGGTCGATGAAAGAGATCAAGATCAAGATATACCGATAGAAACTTGTTGAAAACATCAAGCAGGTAGTCAATAAATCTCCCAAGGATACCTTGAAGAATTCGCACACCATAACGCAACTGCACGAAATTAATGCCAGGTAAGATAATCATGAATCCTGAAAAAGGTTAGCTTGCTGGATGAAATGTTCAACAGGATGAATATGCGTTGCTCGGGATTTTATCTAGTATTCCTCATTATATCATTCATCTTTTGAAATTGTTAATGTAAAACATTGTCATGCTGCAATGTTCAAATTAAGGAAACCAGGATCTACCTAATCATCCTATTCATCCATAGACGATAATTGAGTCTCGGAAAACACTTGCAATGGGATGAATATCATTTTAAATAACGGTATCTGATAATGAACTTCAAGCCTATTAAAACTTACTAAAAGTTTGTATTTAGGCTTTTCACTTAAAGGAAATAGTTCACTTTCACGAAATTATTTTTTTTTGCAATGGATTTATGATTTTTTATGTTCAAAATGATCAGCAAAGAAAATAAAACCTATTTATAACAAAAGATTATTTTCTATATTTTGATATAAGAAGAACTTTTCAGTTTCTGTAAGGCACAGGCGATCCAGTATGAAAAGAGCATGGGTTCCGAAAAATCTTCAGAAACTAGAGAAATTATCGCGGCCACCGGCATTTGGGCGATCTGCTGCTGCTGAATGTCCTTATTGATCAGTACGAGAATTTCTCTAGAGTTCTCGTAGATAATTTCTCTAGTTTCTGAAGAATTTTTGGTACCCATGCTCTTTTCATACTGGATGCAAATATATGCAAGGCACACATCCTCAACGCAAGACACCTTTTTCGGGACGAGAAATATAATATCTTTGCCTAGGGTGATCGTTGGGCTGTAAAAGCTCCTGATTTATGCTCGTCTCAGCCCAGGCTACGGAACTGCTATTCCAGTTCAAAACCCATGTTAAAAAGTGAACTATTTCCTTTAAGAGCAACTTAGAACTTACAAGCGTAGGTACTAGGTAGGTATCTAGTATCTGCTTCCCTGGCATATTGTGTAATCATTTTCATTCAGCTTTGAATTCTACATTCATTGGAATCAATCAATAATAGCCTACAATCAGTGGTGTCTAGCATTAAAAATCAGATAGAACAAGAATGGCATTCAGTTCTGAATGACACCAATTTGTGTTACCATACCACCATCTTGGGGCGGGGCATGATGATCTGAGGGCTGTTCACGGGCCCTGTGTGCGGTCGGACCGCACACAGCCTCCAAGCTCCGCCCACTTCGTCCCTACGTCAGCCTTCCGTCACCGCACACAGCGGACCGTCCGGCGTCCACCGCACGCAGCCGTGACGTCAGAGCCGCCTACCCATCCCCTACCCCCACGCCTGCTGGACGCACCGCACACACCGCACGCAGCAGTGTGCGGTGCCCGTGAACACCCCTCTGACTGAACACTTGCTTATGTGTTTGACCAATGACATTACACGTTCATCTGTTTCACCAGTGACAGCATCAGAGGCGGCCATGTCTGACGCCGGCGGCCGAGAGCGGCCCCTGTCGGCCGCTTTCGAAGAAGACGCCGCGTTCGCCGCCGAAATCTCTGCCGCCATGCGCGTGCCAAAGCGCATCCACGTCACGGGCGAGGGTGACGACGACTTCACCTCCGGCGCACGAAACGGCGGCACGAACGGCTCGTCGGCGTCGGCGCTGGGCGCGCGCATGATGACCGTGCCCGACCGGATCGTCGTTCTCGGCGGGGAGCGTCACGGTGCCGGCGGCGGTCCTCCGCGCGAGCTGGTCCTGGAGCGTGCCTCCCAGCCGCCGGCCGGCCGAGACTGGGCCGTGGAGTCTCCGCCGCGTGTGCTGCGAGTCGACGAACATCTGCGACCTCCCGAAGAGCCTCCGACTCCAGTGGGAGACGATGAAGGAACCCCCGAGCGGCGCGGCTTCGGCCGCGGTGCCGGAGATCGTAGTGTGGTTCTCCGTGATCAGTTCTCTCCGCCCGCCCCGCCTGGTTTTCTGAGCGCCTCGGAAGAGCTGGAGCTACTCCGACGTCAGCTCCTGAAGGTGAACCGGCGTCTGATGCAGATTGAGGTAGAGAACCAGCGACGCCGCTCACGGGAGGTGATGTTGTATACGGCCGGGGCTGCCTACTTCCTCATCAAGGTGATGCTCTGGATGGGAAGGATGTGACGTGAAGGACGTTAGACGGTGACGTGGTTGACGGTGAGGATATGTGAAGAGGCTGGACGGGCTGTTGTTTCAGTGGGGTACTGAATGAGAGCGTATCGAAATGGGTCTGAGTGAACGGCAGGGAGTGCCTGGTTGGGCGAACTTTGCCTGTCGAAGCGGTGAGAGCAGTGTGTTGAGTGTGGTCATTACAGGCGTGGTATGAGTATGATGATTCTCAGAGGGGCGTAAGACTAGATGCAAAGAACCGTTCGCTGGTGAATCAAGCCTAGGCTCGAGGCGGCTGATTGACGAGGACATTCATTTTGGAGTGTTGACGCTTGCTGAGACGGGATTGGTTCAGCCATCTGGTATAGTCCACTGACCACTCTACGAGATGACCACTGACCAATAACCATGGGAGACTATCCGCTACCAGCACGGCTTCAACGAAACCCTGGGGCCGGTTTCAGTACCGTGTCTGCCTGCTCGCCTCCTTCCGACAACCGCTGTACTGGCGCCTGACCGGACCCGTGACAGGTAGCGGCCGCTGAGACTGCTGGCATGTCTTTGAACTTAACAGGAGCCGCTCCGCTGTGTTCGGTGCGCGCGTGGGTGCTTGGAAGTCACAAGATAACGCGTGTTGGTGTGTGTGTCTTGATGTCAGAGAGGGCTATTAACTGGGTTGAGTTTAGTCCGGCGTTGGCATTTTTGACGCCGTAGTGATATTTTGGGGGTTGTTGGTGATCAATGAGGCCATTTACCTCGTAAGTCGTAAGTGTACAGTTTGTGAAGAACTACCGAGAGGAAAAGTGAGGCTTGTTAAAAAGGACTCAGATGAAATGTTTGGCCGTGTGGCGGTACATGGCTAGATACGCGACCACGCGGTGGTTGCCAGGAAGGGACGTGGGGGCGCCGTCAATCTTTCATTTTTAGTGTCAGTCAGGGCATTGAGGAGTGGCAACAACGAGTATGTAATTGATTCAATTTCGAGGTGGCGAACCTGAGAAGCATCATGATGAGGCTCATTTAAACGACAGAGAAGCGTGCAATGTTTCAGTGATTCTCCGCTCATAAGGCTCGTTTGGTGCGGAGAAGTTTTCACATCTCATTCACACTGGTGTGGCGTTTTTTCTTCTTTTATTTAGCCAAACATGCCGCTCTCTGATAGAGGATTCAGTTACGACTTCGCACATAGGTACTTATTGTTTCGTCGCTGCTTTGTAACCTGTGAGCTGTTGGTAACGGTCCCTCCGCCGCGTTTTGTGTGGTCTCCTCCAGTGGCGGACATATGATGCACTTTGTTTTGATTGAATGAGCGCAGTGATGCGAATGTGTGCCCGTATAATGTCGTACCGTATACTGAATACATGTAACGAGGCTATCGAATATGGTGAAGGTAACAGCTGTCAGTACTGTCAGTAGACATAATACGAACTATTGATTGAAAACGAACAACGGTCAACCCCAAACTCTTACTACGAGGAAACAGATAATGTGCGTTTATTGATCAGCTATAGCTGCTCATAAACTGATAATGCACACATGTAATCAATTGAAATGATCGCGTGACACTCAGTGCGATATCCCGCAAATATCCCGCTCGTCTCCTCCGACATAATCACAGCCACAAACCTGTCATGCGCAATCAAATAAAACACGCCCTTTGTGAGATGTGAGAAAGCAATACTGCTTAAGCTTACACCAAATTCACTCACATACAGATGCATATATCATAGCTGACCATTAAATGATCACAACAAAAACACATTACAAACGTTTGTAGAATGGCAGCTCACACAAAAAATGTGCATAGACCCGACTCCGAACCATTCTTCCCACCGACAAGCGAAATAAGGCATCAGCAGCATGCGACATTCCACTCATAGATAAGACTACCTCATATCTCGACAGGAGACATTGTTTTTTATGCAAACCAGTAGTGCAATCATCCCCTCTAACCCGTTCATCCCTCCACGTCTTCCAGCGACGTATCCATCACTTCTTTGATCCTGGTCAAGAACGGAGACGACGGCGGATCGACGTTCTCACCTCCGCCACCACGCGGCGCCACCTCCGCACGGTCCGGCCGCCTCTCCATCACACTCGGCGAGCTGGCGTCTCCACCTCCGGATGTATCGACAGCTGTAGCGGATGACGTCATTGGAGATGCTGACGTCATTGGGGATCGAGGGATTCTCTCGTGGTCAGGTCCAGGCGCACTAGGAGAGGTTTCTTTGGCAGAGTGAGATGGTCTGGTCTGCTCCGTTTTGGAACTCTCACTGGCGTTGAAGACCACGGGGCCTTCTCCTGTGCTTCTGTCCTCCCGGGCGGGGGTGGCGCTATCCCCGCCTCCGTGCCGAGACGGGGAGTCCTCCGCAGTCTCCTCCACGGCTACCAGACGTTGCTGCGACCGCGGCGGTGCGGACGGGGCTCTCCTGTTGAGCAGAGCTCTAGTGCCACCCGCCACAGCGCCTCCAGCCATCAGTGCCCCGGCCGACACGGACCTCACCAGCCCCCGACCGGTCCAGGCGAGCCATCCGACTCGCTCAGGACCGGCGCGCTGTACCTGGGTCCTTCGACGTGACTCGGCGCCCACCGGCTGCACCTCTCCACTAGCCGTCACCACGAGGTACACCCTCTCCTGTCCCGGCTCGACCGTCACATGCAGCGCCTCGGAGTCATCTCGACTAACTGAGTTTGGTGGTCGACAGCGACAACCAATCACGACCAGAGCGAGAAAGAACCCCAGGCTGATTATCGTCAGCGGTATCATCCATATTGTAGGCACTTCTGCACCGAGAGCTACATAGAATCTCCCCAGCGCCCGGCCACACTGCTCGGCGGGATGTAGGACCATCTTGGTCAATGTCTCCGCCAGAGCCATACCGGGCGATACTTCCGAGAACGGATCCACGTGCAGGCGCATGTAGTATTCGCGGCACTTGTCCTCCGTTTTGACGAAGCTGACCAGCCCACGGACGTAGTGTAGAAGCCCGTCCGTCCAGCCCCTGTCACCTTTCTCACATCCCTCTGGAGGGTTTAGTTGAAGATGTCTTTCAGCGAGTGCCCTCACATACAGATGATTCCAATGCCAGAAGAAACTCGCCACTAGCACTAGCACCAACATTCTGCTCAGCACGTACGTCCAGGACTTTCCGAACAGCAGTGCCACGAGCAGCCAGCTACCCAAGAGGACAGTCAGTAGCAGAGGAACCAGCTCAGTAGAGACATCTGGTATCAGCTGACGAAGCTGACGCAGCCAGCGCGGCTGGCCTTCAGTCAGCAGGGACTCGAACTCGGAGTCGGCGAAAATGTCCTCCAGAATGGCGTCGGTCTCGACGAGAGAGATGTGGTCGGAGCCAGTCAGGAACTGACGCAATCGGAGCACCTGCGAGAGAGAGAGAGAGGGGTCAGAAAACGAAATGGCTCGATAATAACCAGCATCATTCGGTTCAGCTGCCCTATATAGCTTATTCGTGCTATCAGCATTTCGTTGGCAGTAAAGCCAGCAAAAGAACCAGCGAGGTTCATGAATCATGGTCCTTCGAAGAAACAAACGTAACAGCTGATGAACAAACTACGAGCTAAAGTACTTTCTCACCAGCACACACCGCGGGCCTCCGTGGCGCAATTGGTTAGCGCGTTCGGCTGTTAACCGAAAGGTTGGTGGTTCGAGCCCACCCGGGGGCGGCCCACGTTTTGACCACACCGAAACGGGAATATGACATCATCCAAACATACATATTACGGCCTGTACTCAAGATTAATGTGACATATTGCGACACTCATTATTCGTTATCACAACATCAATCACTCACATTTCCAGCAAAAACCACGGGGTTGCTTACACGCCAAGACAGATTCATTCATTCATTCATTCATTCATTCATTCATTCATTCATTCATTCATTCATTCATTCATTCATTCATTCATTCATTCATTCATTCATTCATTCATTCATTCATTCATTCATTCATTCATTCATTCATTCATTCATTCATTCATTCATTCATTCATTCATTCATTCATTCATTCATTCATTCATTCATTCATTCATTCATTCATTCATTCATTCATTCATTCATTCATTCATTCATTCATTCATTCATTCATTCATTCATTCATTCATTCATTCATTCATTCATTCATTCATTCATTCATTCATTCATTCATTCATTCATTCATTCATTCATTCATTCATTCATTCATTCATTCATTCATTCATTCATTCATTCATTCATTCATTCATTCATTCATTCATTCATTCATTCATTCATTCATTCATTCATTCATTCATTCATTCATTCATTGTCTGTCCCCGATTTCCACAGGCCCCTCTTCTGCCAACCATTCCCACCTGCACTTCAGAGATGCGGCCTCTCAGCTGAAACGTCTCGCGTTCGGCCGGCTGGACGTCCTCATGTATCCGGAGTAGCTTCAGCGTCCGCTTCACGTGCCGCTGCATGAACGCAGAGTTCAGCTGGTGTCTGCTGGGCGGCCTGGAAGGACCGGCGGCGGCTGGCGAGGGTGTGGGGGCTGGAGCGGCGGTTGAGGAAGAAACTCTTGCAGGACACCGAGACCTCGTCGCCCAGCGCGCGCGCAGCGGTCCCAGGGCATCGAGTAGACGGTGACAGCGATCGGCCGCTGCGCAGCAGTCTTTACCGCCCTCTGGGGTCAGCTCGAACTCGAACATGGCGAACGGATCGCTGGCGCGGCAGCGGTGTGCCAGCACCAGCAGCAGCAGCGGGAGACACAGAGCCAGAGTGGTGACATTGCGCAGTAGCCATGACATGGCTGCCACACTGGTGCAGGGCTAGCAAATGGAAAAGAGGGGAAAGAGACAAGTGTCAAAAACTGTGAGAAAATGGGTGCCTGGGGAAGTCAGTACATTGTTGACTAAATGCTGACAAACTTGATGGTTGGTGCTATATCAGATAACAATAGATACCAGAAAAATCACTCCCAGAATGTTCCTTTTGGAGTTTTTTTTTTTGGAACACATGGAGAGGAGGCTGTACAGCCAAAAATCAAAATTAAGGCCACATCTCTGGTGTCCCATTTCCAAAGGCAAAAATGATTGTTTGGGCGACCGCCAACCCGAGGTACCTCAGTGTTCTAAAATTGGATATTGGTTGGGTGTGCCGATGAAGAAAAAATCCTAGGATGAAAAAAAGAAAGTAAATAACTGCAGTATTTTTGCAAAATGGTGTAATGCCAATTTTTATGCTAACTGATAAACCAGAATTTCATGTCAGGATCTTGACAGGGTGTGGAACAAAAGGATGTGGGTGCATCAACTGTCAAGTGACAAGTGAACTGGCTGTTGGGAATACATGAAACTCTTTTCAGAGATGAAGTAAAGTTGGTCATTCACATTTTAGGGATGAAAATATTTTCCCCATTAGGTGTGATTTGCCACCAAAAAGGCTGAAAAATGAAACACTGAGGTACCTAATGACCTCTGACCTGACGTACCTAATCCTTTTTGCCTTTGCACGACAGATCTAGCATCTACAGATGCCTGTAAATGTCCTGTTCTGTATGGTAAAAAATTATGTGACAAATTTGAGTCTGCACGTTTTAATCAGCGCATTGACATCGCAAGTGAAAAGTTTTCATTTTGGTTTTCAAATGCACAGAATGAGCCACATCATGAGCCTAAAAATATTAAAATTGCATTCATCTTCACAACTAAGGCTCCAAACAGTATTAATGACACTTTTGACATTCAGCATTACCCCATACTGATACCATAGGTACCTAACCCTAAACCCTTTGCCATGCTGATGCTTCAAATTTTTGAAACCAACCCAGATTAGCATCTATGAAAGTAGGCCCACAGTTGGCATTTACAATACCTACCTAGTATAATATGTCAACAGTGAACAGAGTACCCACCTCAACCTCAACCTACTTTTATATTAAATGCTCAATGATATCTCTTACAACAATTCAACGACAATCACTACTGAGACAACATCGCGACAATAACTGACGCACAAACTGCAAAACATTTACTATCCCGCGAAAAATCGTAATCGTAAGTCGTAAATGTAAGCATCGTAACCAATAACGACAGCAGCGACACCTATATCATATTTTTGAGACTGCGCACGTTTCGCCTCACCACTTCTTTTTCGATGAATGTCCGTGAACTTAGCGACGTATACGTATACGTATTCAGCGACGAATTCCAAATCACTTCAGATTCATGGCATGGGTTAAGTTGACCATGCTGAACACGAATATGACATTTATTTTAACTTTTGAGCTGATCTTCATGGTTAAAATCCGGTTTAAATGACGGGGAACCGCATAACGTCGCGAAAATAAAAACCCACGAATTCCAAAGTATATGCAAAATGTAGAGCTCATCCAGATCTAA